CTGTTGGATGGGAAACACTGTCAGAGAAGTTTTTCATCATGTTAGGAAGGTACTGTGCTAATTTACTTAACTGAATTCTAAAGCACTTTAAAGTGGACAGGGGAAAAATTTGGTTTTCTGTTATGTCTAATGAAGCTAATAAGGTTTCCAAAACAAAGAGCTGCCCCAAACCAAGGGGCTGCCCCTATGAAAGGTTTAAGACAACATCACCACCCTGGACATTCATTATACAGAAAGAATATTTATATGCATAGAACATTACAGAAACCCACAAGATCAGTAACACAGTTTCTGAAAAGAAATAAATCTAGTAATGATGTAAAATGTACAAATAAAATTTCATTCCTGTTTAAATAAGTAGTTAAATGTAAGAGGACACAGGAACAGCAGCTACAGCTCAGTTAAAGATGGGGACAGGTGGAGCTGCAGCCTGCAGGACAGAGTGGGACAACTTGTGACAATCAAAGGACAATCCGATTCTCAAGTGATGTGGCATCCTGAGAACCGTATGCAGGAAAACAGAAGAACTGAGCAACAATCAGACATGCTATTACTAGTCAAATAAACCTCATCTCATGAAATGAAATGGTAAAGTAAAACAATGATAAAGTGTTTCCTTAAACGGCTCAGCTGAGTTGCTATGATGTAACAATCCTGACTAACCTGCTATGATGTAACAATCCTGACTAACCTGACAGGCTGCTAAACAGCTATTGTCATGACCCAGACCATTTTCTCTTCTTACAAGGTTTGGTCTTTGTGTCACATCTTTTAAATGCATCTGTTAAACATTGTCAGAGTATCAACAAACTTTGAACCCTTGCAGGACACATCGACTTTCATCTTGGCGAGCATTTGAATGACTAATGACCGGAGTGAGAGTTAGTGACCAGATAAACCCTGAAACCCTTTAAAAGAAGAGAGTTGAGGCTTTCTTAAAAACCACTTAATGGTTTACATGCTAAAAAAACAGCAATTAACCAGGAGAATCACCGACTGACGTTTTGTTGAATACCTGAATCTGGCAACCAGTTTGAGTTACTCTGGTGAATATAGTGGATACTGTGATAAATAATACTGACAGTAAAATCAACCAAGCTGTTTCTTTTCTTACAAACTGAGGCACAATGAATACAATACAGATGTTTCTTTAACTCTCACTTAAATTTTTTAAGTTTTTTTTATGTTAGTCCACAATAAAATAAGATAAAATAAAATAAAATCTGTGACTATGGAGAATGGTGATGGCTGACCATAAGTGATGATGAGGATGATGAAGGGCTTGTTGCAGAGCAGCCTGCGGATGGAGGCTGTGTAGGAGTACTGCTCCGGTGGGATGCTACGAGCTCTGGCCTGGGCCTGAGTCGGAGGAAGTTTAGGATGCTCTTGGAAGACTGACATAAGGAGAGACCAACAATGATGTTAAATAAAGTCAACGCAAATAACAGCAGCAGTAAACTGCACACTCACTAGTACTATATACGTAAATTAAAATGCAAGGTGCAAAACCTGGAGATCAGTTATGAGCGAACACACTCATGACTGACAATTCATGAATGTGGTATGTGACCTATGGTCATGAACTTTGGGTCATGACCGAAAGGGCAAGATCCCGGATACAGGCGGCCAAAATGAGCTTTCTCCGCAGGGCAGCCGGGCGCACCCTTAGAGATAGGGTGAGGAGCTCGGTCACCCGGGAGGAGCTCAGAGTAGAACCGCTGCTCCTCCACATCGAGAGGAGCCAGCTGAGGTGACTCGGGCATCTGTTTCAGATGCCTCCTGGGCGCCTTCCTAGGGAGGTGTTCCGGGCATGTCCCAGGGAAGACCCAGGACACGCTGGAGAGACTGTCTCTCAGCTGGCCTGGCAATGCCTCGGCATTCACCCGGAGGAGCTGGAGGAAGTGTCTGGAGAGAGGGAAGTCTGGGCATCTTTGCTTAGACTGCTGCCCCCGCGACCCGGTCCCGGATAAGCGGAGGAAAATGGATGGATGGATGGATGGATGGATGGTATGGTCTTGGTAAATGGTCTTACTTAATGCCTTTCTACACATTGAAGCGCACTCAGAGCACTTTACACTATTTCCCATTCACACGCACAATCATTCACACATCAGTGATATCAGCGGGAGCAACTTTGGGTTCAGTGTATTGCTCAACAACACTTTGACATGTGAAATGGAGAAGCCGGGAATCAAACCTCCAACCCTCCAGTTAGGAGACAGTCCACTCTACCGCCCCCAAACTGTAATTTACAGATGTGTACACATTTGCTGCAGCTAAGTGAAACAATGCTTCATTCCTCCTGAAAAGTGATGAAATTAAAAACAGCTGTCTCATGTATACCTGTATGTCTTTGGTATGTCAGAGAATAAAGCAAAGAAAGTGTGAAAAAGATCCATTATTGTTTATTCTACAAAGATATTTTTAAAAGGCCTGGACAGATTTATTGGTACCCCTAGGAAAGATTATAAATAACTGGATTATAGTAAATAATGCCCCAGACTGAGACTGGCATTTTTTGTCGAGTCACATCGACTCTATGTTCACAGACCTTTCAAAGAAAACAAGATCATACCTAAAACAAAGAGGAGGCCTGTCTATGAAAGGCCGCTTTGCTGCATCTGGCACCGTATTTCTTGACCCAAGAGCTGCAACTGAGACAAAACGTTCTGACACCGGGTGGTACGCTTCACTCCAGAATGCTCTGATAGCCTTCAGACTTCATAGTGCTCTGTATAGTAGCTCATTGGTCCTCCAACAGGATAATGACCCAAACACATATGTAAAAGCACCCAAGAACGGCTAAGGAGAAAACACTGGATTATTCTGAAGTGACCTTCTATGAGCCTTTCTCTGAATTCTATTGGGTCCCATCTTTTTTGTCCATGTTATTTTTATTAGTTTTAATATCTAAAAAGAACCTGTTGAATCAAAAATCAAAAGCAAAGAACTGATTTCCATTACATATTGAATAAACAATGATGATGCTAATTACTCTCAGTTTGTCAGTGTCAAATTATTTCAGAAAAAAGAGTGGATTCTTCCTTTTATAAGGAAAGGTACCAACAAATTTGTCCATGCTTGTACATTACACTGCTATCAACACTGCAGCCTTTACAGATAGATGAAAAATGATGTACAGTATTAGTGCAACCAGAAAAAAAAGATGTGTGTGTGTGTGTGTATTTATACATATACACAGTATATATATCCCCATATATATGCCTCCAGTGAACCTTGGACAAAGAAGATGCATGTGATGTTGCCAAAGAAAGTAAAAACAGGTTTTACTTTCACCCTGGGGAGGTTTAAGGAGAATATTTAAGAGAAGACTTAAACAACAAAAGCTTACCAATGGAAATTGTTTCTCTCCTGTTTACACAAGCAAACAGCTGCAAACATATGAAATGTCTACCATTTGCATGAGCCACAGCACAAATGAGCCTTCTGTATTTTGCCTAAACAAGTATCTTGTCCATGTGGAACAGGACACATTCAGACACAGGTGGACAAGTCCAAACATATACCATAGGCTCCATATGCCTCCACACAAAACATGATTAACATATCCTTTAAAGGTCTTTCTCTAAGTGTTTCTCAGTCTCAAGCACCTTCTGCCAGTTTCTGATGGTCACCTTTTAGGAGGAAAATTGGGTGAAGACACTCATGGAGAAGCACAGATGTTCTTGGAGCAGAGCCACACGTTTTTCTTTTTTGTCCTCCCAGTGAGTCTGACCTAAGGGTATGTGTACAGTAACCAGGTCGCACTAATCCCACAAAATGAACCTGCTCTTTGACACAGCTGCTCTAGTGGGGGTGACGAAGTTTAAACTAATATTATCTCAGCTGCTTTTACTCATGCCATTGTCATTCAAATGAAAGTTCTTTTCATACAGTCTTCGGAGTGCTCATACCGATTACGTGTCCATTTTAGAAAATGCTTTCTGCATGTCCATTTATTTCTAACACCCCTGGTGATTCCCCTTACTCACTCAACCACATCCACTCACATTATGTCTTTGTGCAGACTGTCTCTGTGGTTAACCTGGTCTGTCAGTTTGTTTACAGGAAGGCTGCAGCCAAACTTCTTATCTCTCCTCTCTCTGCACACACTTTATGCAAATCTCTGAATCCTGGGATTCTGTCTACCCTGCTGACTCACAGGCCTGTTGCAGGGCTCCAGATGGCCTTGCCAGCAGGACAATCCTCACACATGGCATCTTGCATGTACTGTATGTGTGAGGGTGTGCTGTGTGCGTGTGAGTTTATGTGTCATCTCATGAAACTACTGCAGCCAGCTGGTGTGAATTATCTCGCTGGAATAACCAAGAACAGCACAAGTCACATCCCTCTCTCTGTACCATCCGTCACATGACTGAAAGTGGAGGAAAGACTGTATGTTTAAAGAATTTTTATCCTCATGAATCTTAAAATAGTAAAAGATTTAACATTTTAATGAATGGCTTGTATTTGATATGTTTTTCTTTTTTCTATCAATATCCTCCTAGGGAAGGTTTGGTGCCAGTGCAAACATGCAGTTCAGCACCATTTCAGTAAATGGTGCTTCCCACACTGTTCTTTCAACTTCTCCACTGTAAAAGAAATTTGCATTGGCCTAAGTGAAAGAGGTCAGGCAATATTCATTAAAAAAAAAAAATGTGAGAATTTTTATAGCACGATGAAAGAACGTAGAAAATGGGAGGAAGAGGAAAAGCTAGTGACTAAAGGTGACAGTGCCTTGGATTTCATTAATTTCATTCACTTGATTGTTTCAATGAGCTCTCCACATCTTTATCCATTCACTCACACACACACACACACACACACACACAGTAAAATGAGATTTGATTGATTCTCCAATTTATGTAAATTCAAAAACTGCTCGAATGCCAAAATTATATTACCCTTCAAGGTATCTAGTTATGCAGAAAGTTTCAGGAGAAAGTTAATCTGGAGATTCTGAGATCTTCCTCTGAGATTTCTACTATCACACCAATATAACGGAGATGAATAAAGCAGCAAAAAAAATACATTTGAAAAACCTAACAGCACTGCATTACTGCAGAAACAATGAACAGTTTTCATTTAAATTACTTTCTGTTGAAGACATAGTCCTACTGAAAATGTAGTTCAATGCAATGAGCAGCACAAATCTATTCACTTCTGTTGCACTGGGGTGGCATCTCGAGACTCTGCATGTCTACATTCATCTTACCAAAGACAACGAGGATGAAGAGAACGGTAGCTACTCCTGCTGTGATGTAGAACATAACCCTGATGTGGTGAGCCAGCTCATCCAAGTCGTCCACATTAGGCACCAGCATAGGAGGCACAAGGAACCCAATGGCAACACCGAGCTGGGAGACAGCAAACACATATAGCACTAATTAATGAAATATATCAGGTTATAAATGAACATGTAAAGCTCCACATTATTATTTTGCAAGAAATATAAAATCATAGTGGTGCCACTGATATTCTAAATCACATATATAGTGACTGAATGGTACCACAGTGTGTTTGGAACCTTGTTTTTACACCTTTTAAAGAGCAAGCGATTATCCAGCTTTTCACCTTGCTAATGGATTTAATGTAAATTTGAAGTAAAACTTTGAGATTCATTGTGACCCTCATTAGGATAAGTGGTATAAATAATAGATGGATGGACTTTTAAGATTCAACTGAGCTATAACCTCTAGAGTCCTGAGCTTTGGAAACCCAAGCTGTGCGGTCCTCATATGAGGACGCAGGGACTCTAGAGGTTAAAGGTAGGTGGGAGGCCTGTTACCTACAGTATGAAGAAACAGCTGCAGTTTAGTTTAGGTTTTTTTTTATTATTTTCAGTCCTGACAAGCAAACTTTGCTGCAGTATCGCTCATCTAAAACTTGCACATGCTGGTCAGCAAAACATGCCAAGAGCATGTTTTTGCCCAAAAGAAAACCAACTCAACCTTTAAACTTCTGAAAAGACCAAGTATGATGAGAAGGTTTACGTAAACAGTTAACACAATTATCTCGGGACTCCTAACTAACTTTGGTATCAAATGCAGCCCTGCATAATCTACAGACAGCCTCACTATGTGGATCCTGCTGCAGAAGTATAAGTTAAATGGTAATTAATTATCTGTTCAGACAAACCTGGTTTCCAGAACTACAATGGAACAAGCGTGGGAACCTCTTCCCCTTCAATCCACACTGAGGCGGTGTAAGGAGCAATAATGCAGTAGTTACTGAGCAAACAAAATATGCCTGGGAACAGATTGAGACTACCAATTTTTATCCAAGCTCCAATGCAGCTGAAGGCTGAACCAATGAGGACATCATCCCACGTTCCCTGTTCTGGCCACAGGATGGGCAGAATAAGGGGGATGTAAATGAGCAGGTAGATCATGGACACTCAGAAAATGGCCAGAGAGTCAGTGCTGTAGAAACACATTCATGTTGCTGATAATGGTGTACTGGAGCCACATGAAGGCGCTCACGCCTTTTACTAACAATCTCATTACATTCACAGCTCTGTGCATGTGATGGCAATGATCTTCAATACCACATCCTGTCATGTGATGTTAATATAAGAAATCTTCCAATTCTGTTTAAACCAATCCAACCAACTTTGAGACCTTGTACTACCTCTTTAGTTAACTGGTCAAATAACAGTAATCCAAGAAAGCCAATGCAGACATATTTCTCTTTTGAACTTCGATTCATTCTGGTATGAATGAGAGGAAGGTATGAGGGTTGCTGTAACAGGTTAATGTTTCCAAGTCTCTGCTGCTGATCACCTATGGGTCCTTGAACTGTTAAGGATAACACCTAAAACAACCCTTTCCTCCCTTCTAACTTATAACCGAAGCCGTGTGTGACCGATGCTATTTTGGCACTGCACTGGGCGGTGACATCACCCGGCAAAAGTGATGCATTGGCCAATCACGTAGGCCTAAGGGGGACGATTGGTCTTTTGTTTACCTTGTTAGCATGAACACTAACTTCTATTCACTGTGGAATTTGGGTCACAGTTAATGCACCGTAATGACACGCCGTGGGTTTTCGTTAGTACTGGATGTTAAATGGTGTTTTAATCTATCAATGCCAACACAGTGGTGGTACAATTGGACCAATTCAATTGGCGCTATGGTAGAGTGGCTACGTTAGCAGCATAGCTAACCAAAACACAACGGAAACTCACGGGCTGGGAACGTGAATTAAGCCACTCATGTCGACTCGTCACAACGTAGCCATATCGTACACACCTACAACAATGCCTCTGAACTCTGACCAATGCAGCCCCGTGCGTTAAAACGCAGCAGGGAGTTGCGGTTTTGTAATGTGAACGTACTCTCACTTTGCATCACACTCCGTCGTACTAGCTATTGATGTTATGAGACAGCCTTCATATGTTTTAAATATCGCGAGATCTCATCGCACAAGATCTTATACCCCTAGCAGCAAAGTATGCCTGTCTATCAATATCCGAATTTTAAGGTAATAGATTTACCATTCTGTATGATATTTTCCTATTGTGTTTTCCCACTTATACCATATCCATAGAACCATTTGTTCCCATCTGGGAGAACCTGACAGTTATCCAGCTCTTCTCTGACTGGTCCATTCAGAGTGCACTGACTTTCATGCAGTTTGTAATAAAACATCTTAATTTCTGATAGCCATCTGTTTCAGTTAGATTCATGTGCAATAAGCAAAAATAGTCATCAGAATACAGCCTGACAGGGTTGTTAGCTATCAGTAAGAAAATAAAGGCCAAGCCTAGCTCTTACTGTGACACATGAGATGTAAAAGTCAATGAAATAAAATCTGTTGGGTTTTTTTTTTATCTTAGTGGTAACAAAAATTGAGAAAAACTAGAACCTATTTAGGTGACAAAGACAAAATGTCCTTAGATTTTCCTCTGGGCATGGATGTGGCAATAAACCCTGCCTTTAAGATATGCCTTAGACTTATATTGCTTCTTGCAGAAAGGTGGTATATGGTGCTTGTATAAAGGCATGGATATAAAGTAACTCATACTGAGACCTTATCTGTCTGTAAGTTCATAAGAGCCGTTTGTTACACAGTTCAGACACAAATGACAGAAAAATACTTCTGATGTTAATAACCTCTAATATGCCTGAATGTTCTATACAAGTGTTTGTTCTTATTTATTGAAACTGCATCCAAAAAATGTGCCAGTGCTAAGTGATGACTTTGCAGTGACATTTACTGCGGGTTAAGTTGACTCACGCGTTGTTTGTTGAAAATCCTAAATCTGATGCTTGTGAGCTTATATTACCAGTGGTGCAATATTGATCTTTGCACTGTTTTCTTCTGCTAAATCAGATCAGCAGAATACAACAGCAGCACACTAACAGTGATTGTGTGTGCATGTGTGTGTTCTCATAAAAGTAAAATGAGCATCATAATGTGAAGGTTTTTTTGTATGTGTAGTGTATGTTAAGTGACCATCACAAGTCAGTCAGAGAATTTTGTGGAAGAAAAAACCAACAGAAAATTGGTAAAATGTCACTGTACCTCATGTTTATCAAGCAATAAATGGTCTAATATATAAAAACATGTATTATTTCTAATTTTATCCTTTTAATGTAGACTCAACAGCATGAAACCATGTACTGTTCATGTGGAGTTCTTCGCCTCTGTTCTAGCATATGGTGCTTAACACGCATTTGGATGCAATATTGGTTTGTTACTTTCAAACACTTTGTTTAATATAGTTTACTTTCTTTGCATTACCGTTCCTGTGGCTATTATGCCATGGCTGAGGACATGTAGATCAGGATTTGAGTACAGAGTAGTTTTCTGTAAACACAGGCCATGTGTTCCAAGATGATAAGTCCTATTTCACATAGTATGCGTAGAAATCGGTTTTGTTTATCTACAGTTTAATAGGTATGTAACATGATAAGAGAAATAGTTATGTCTTCATCATTCGTTGATATAGAACGTCGGCTTTAACAGTGAGGATTCGTCAATGCATAAATTCTGTATAAATAAAGGCCGTGTCTGATACAGTACTAAAGCTTCACTGTTTATTGTTCACATTCATTCCCCCACATTCTCAGCAAGCAGTATTGTGGCTTGCCCACACAGGTGCGTAATTACGCAACGCGTCAAATGCAGTGGACGTAGCCAACGTCCCAGTGATTAAAAACTTTTGCATATCTTTTAAAACTGTGATCATATAGGTGAAGACCTAACTTGACCTACTGACTAAAAGACAGTCGTTATATCACAGCGTACCTGATTCCCGAAGACTCCAATGGAACAGGCGGTGGACACTTCCTCTGAACCGAACCACACTGACGCGATCCTCGAGGGCATCCCGAGAATGAACACCTGAGCGAACGAAGAGAAGAACTGTCCCAGAAATGTGACGGGAAACAGGTCGGGTCTAGCGCTGGCCACTTTGATCCATGTCCCGGCACAGTTGAGCCCAGTGGCCACCAGCGCAACAATCCGGAGTCCTTTCTTGTCTAGCAGCCAGGTCACCGGGAAGATGAACGGAATATATGTCAGCATGTAGATCATAGACATCCAGTCTATGGTGAAGGCATTCACGTTGTAGAACTTCATGAAAATGTTGTTGATGATGCCATACTGTATCCACTGGAAGGAGTTGCACAATGAATACGAGCTGAACAGGAGGACGATTATCCAGCGCCGTTTGTACAGACGAATTGGTCGCAGCGTTTCGCTACCGTCCAGCTGGCTCTGATCATCGGCGCGCTTCGCTGGGTCTCCCACTTCCAACCCTTCCTTAGTTTGTTCCTCGTTCAGTTTATTGTCTCCTAAAGCTCGTTTCTCCTTCATGTTAAGCCAGACTCTTTAACATATACTCATGGAGTATAAGGTTTACTCTCAACTACTGTGGATTACTACAAACTACCCTGAAAACTAATGAAAATCGTCGCTTTATGTGTGATCGTTCAACATCCAGCGCGTTCTGTTGACGATGGGCAGGCCTAAAGCGTCATGGTTTAGCTAAAAGCAGAAGTTCTGTTTGTTTGTTATCTCCAATCTGCTGGTATGAGCGACGGCTCTTCAACTTCTAGTTTGTGTGGCACTATCCAGACTGTTAATTCATTTCTTCTCCGTGTTTAAGTTAGTTTAGTGATCTCACTTAGGCATAAAATCAGTAACAGATTATTTTATGAATTACTATAATCCTTTCGGGTCGAGTTTAAACGCGTGCGGGATCGCCTGTGACCCTCTACCCGGACCTAAAAACCCGTCACGACTTTGCCTAAACTAGGTCAACGCAGGCACAGGGCGGGGCTTGTACACGGACTGACATAAGCACAATTAGTTGAGCAGTTCTCTGATATATTATTAGTATGTTTGTTAAGGAATTTGTAAAATATGCCACTTTATTGGTAGTTTACTTCCTAGTCTAAAACACTGCAGTTAACAGATCCACTTTGACAACTGATTGTGGAACAGGTAAGGGGAGAAAGACCAAAACTTCAGTTGTGTTGAACAACAACAGCAACAAAAAAAGCAAAAACAAAATTCATATCCACACAGGAGAGTCTATTATGAATTATTTGTGTGCTTTGTAAAATAATCTACTCAAACTCTTATCTGTCATACTGGTAAACAGTGCCATCTATAGACCCTAATCAGAGAGAAACACATTTACAGTAGCTCTGTCACATTTGCCCTGTTATCAGCACCGGTGCAGAATCTGTTGTGCAGACAAGGAAAAACACTGCACAGAGCCATACATAAAAACCCCTGGAGGTCAGAAATGATCTTTAATAAATATCTCTACTGGCGTCTTCTCACACATGATCACCAGTACACAAAACAAGAACCCGTGAATGCCCGTTCCTCACAGCAAGCCGTTTCTTTTTTTGGTGCATCAAAGCCTTTTTGGGATTATGACGACTTTACATTCTGTTTGTCCACAATCAAATCTGTCAAAAGCTCCTGAGCATTTACACAATGAAACATATAATAACATCAGAAACTCTAAATATAACAGATTAACAAAGGAGCTCTGCACAACACTAAAACAGCTTACAAAAATATTGCATGAGTCACCTGAACATACAGTAGATGGATTTTTCTCCCAATGTAAACATCGACTGGTTGATAATTTTACTCATCAAGCCATTTAGCTTCACACATAGATGTTGGATATTAATCAGATAAAAGCAAATAGATGAACAGAAGCTAAATAAATAGTTTTGAATACTGTATGCTTCACTTTGGACTCCATACTCTCACTGTTTGGCTGTTTGGATGTGTTGGCCTGTCATGTTACTCGTTGATCAGTTATGAGCAATGATTAACATTCACATCTCTAGTCAGTCTCTCTCCACTGAGGTCCGTCTTCTGTTTCACAGCACATCTTCGGCCATCTCAGTAGTCTGTCATGTCAGTGCTGGTAGTGTGGTACAGCGATGTGCTGGTGGTGGTAGCTGCTGTGGTGAGGAGGGTAGAGGAGGTCAGGGGTCTGAGCAGTCAGGCCAGTGCACAGAGGTTCGTGGCTGCTGAGCACAGAAGACAGATACTTGGCCTCCTCTGTCAGCTGCTTCACCTCCTTCCTCAGGGCAGCGTTCTCCTTCTCCAGGTTCTCACTCTCCTGGAAACACACACGAACAGGGTCCGGATGAACAGAAAGGTCTTTTATTAGTGATAGAGGCGACAGATCAGATTTCTTAAAAGTTATAATCTTTCATTTTTATCAATAAAAAATCCAAATATGCAGCATTATATTTTGCTTCCATGTGGCATTTTCCAAAGCACAACAGATTTTTTAATAATTATTGCTCTTTGGATGGCAATGTCTGTCCAGTGGTCGTTTGACTGACCAGACTAAAATATCTGAACAACACCTGAATGGATTGACCAGAAATTTTATTCAAACAGTCTCTGAAGACCTTGATGATCCCATGACTTTTAATCTAGCACCACAATGAGGTTGATATTTATGGTATTGAATGAAATTTCACAGCAACTATTAGATGCAGGGGTGCATCTAGAAAATTTTGGAAGAGGTGGCCAAGCTGGGGCCCAGACTCCGAGAGGGGTGGCACATTTGATAAATATGTAAAAAAGCAAATTAACCCCTAGTTCTATGAAATAATAAACCATACATTATTAAGAATGCATTTGTTTACTTTGTGTAAAAATGAGACACACATACGGTGGTGCTTTTTTTAGCTGACTTTGGCTGTGCTCCTTATTTAGTCCCAGCTGGGAACATCATTGCTGCACAGTGGTTCCCCCGCACTGAGGTGAATCATGCCAAGTACTCCACAACAACACAGTCAGAGAAAAAAATGCAGATATCATGCTGCATGGATAATGTAAAATAAAACAAATTTGTCCAGAAAAATGTTGTATTTAAGACAACAACTTGTCATTGTTTTCATTTTAATTCATTAATACCAACAAGCATCATATTTTGACTCTGTCAGGGGTGGCACCAGTCAGATTCTGGGGGTGGCCGGTGCCACCCCTGGCTATCCCCTGCCTTTGCCCATGATTAGATGGTCATAAACCTTGCATTCAAGTCACCTCCAGTTTAAAATGTAAGAACTTTGGTGAGTCCCTGGCTTTTCATGTAGCGCCTTTAGATCAAATGTAAATGTTTGATGCCAATCAAACACCAGCCAAATTAATGAAACTTCTCATCAGCTTCTCATCAGCTTCAGCTGTAACTTGTGCTTAGTGCTAATTAGCAAATATTAACATGCTAAAATGTTAAGCCAGTTAACATGGTAAGCATTAGGCTATACCAGATAAACATCAATCTGTTAGCGTTATCAAGTTGCACTCACATCAGATGTTTTCATGCAGCTATTAGCATTTACAGAAGCTAAAAGCACAACTGGTTTTTATAAATATAACCTGGCTGCAGACTCTGTCTGGTTTCCAGTTAGTTTCCATTCACTTCAGTTGGTGTGAGTATCAGATGGTCTGTGGTAGCATCACATTTACTTTGTGTTTTCAAGAGCATAATAACAACAACAATAACTAAAGTAGACAATGGATGGTGTTCAATGGCATGCACTGACTATTCCAGGCAAGTCTCTGCAAGTCAGTTTTTAAACTGTACACAAACAAGGCCTATAGGAAGGCAGCTCATTCTTGGAAAAACCGGGTGGTATTGTATATGAAATAATAAAATATACTTAATTTTGCCGTAATATTCTATAGCCTAGGTATGGAAGAGTTGCCTTTTAGTATTGTGGACCGAATTAAAATGTCCATCCTGCCTTACCAAAGAATAATACTATAATATTAATAATAACATTAGATTAAAATTCATCACCACAGGTGGGCGACTTCAAATATGTTTCAGGGCTATTCAACTTGTTTTTCTTTCCACAACACCAACGGTTGTTCTGGGAGGCAGTGAAAATACCTGAAAAAATTCTACAGAAATTCTGCAGCCCCCATTACACTGTAATTAGGTCAAATTAAACCAAATGACTGTAAAAGTGCAAAAACACAGGCATGAACTGCTTACATTGAAGTCTGAATAGATGCCAGTCTAATGCCTGGCATGATGTCAGAACATTTACCAAAACAAGCTTTCTTACTGATCATCAACTTTGACATAATATAACTAGAGCAAGTTGTACATCAGTAGTTTTTCTTTCATTCTTTCTTTCTTTTTTGTGTGGGAATAGCAGAGGAGAAATCTTCCACTCAAGCATTAAAAAGGTCATCACACCAGGGTCAAAAGATTACAATACTGAGCTGTGGGTCCTTACTGTCAGACGCTTTGGGCAAACCCCTGTATTTGCGTCACTTAGCCAAATACAGCCCACTACTATCAGTGTTTTACAAGAAGTGACTGCCTTTTTCTCCCCTCCTGCCCACGACACACAATTTCATGCTCATTTACACTGAAGAAAAAAAAATACTACTGAAGAAACAGGAAATAAGCCACAGTGTCATATTATTTGTGAGAGGGAAAAATTCATCTTCCTGTTTATCTAGTGAGACGATGAAAGCAAAACCACAGACTAGGTTCTGTGGTCCGCCAGTGTTCTCTGTGAATGTGTTTTAAGAGACTGATAATATACGCGTTACTTCATTGGAAGGCTTCTCATGCATTCGCCTCAGTCGCACTAGATCTGCTACTGCCTACGTTCTGTGACTTTTCTGAAGGTCAAAATCGCTTCAGTTCATCTGATAAAGTTGACAGAAACAGCTGATCTGAAAAACTATGTGACAGAATACAGAATAAATCTTCTTTTCTTGAACAACAAGTCACACAGAGGGTGGATATGTGGTCAATGCATTGAAATATGAGGTGCTGTGAGAAGGGACAGTACTTATAAAGTACTTATAAAATAAATACATAATTGCTGGAGAAGCCATTGTGTTCCCTGCTGCATATACAGGTAACAGAGGCTTTAAAAAGAAGCTGAAATTACAACCTCATTGAGAAATACCTGCAAATCCAGGTGTTTGGAGGTGAAACAGAGGAAATGCTAGTTTTTAAAGTTTTTGTTAATGAATTAAGAGCTCATCTTTTGCCAAGTCAAACTAGCACAAAGTGAAGTAAAAGTGGGATTTCTTGCACTTACTACTTTTTATCACATGAAATGAATAATAGGAATGATGAGTAAAGCGGCTAGCCCGAACACACTTCTGTTATCATATTCAGCGCTGTCATTTCTGGTGCTGCAAAAGGGAGTGATTGCCCACACATGCTAATTTATTCCTTAAGCTTGTCTAAACAGGCAGAGCAGTGTCCAAGTGTGTGACCAACAGAAGCCATGACACATCACCACATGGTCAGGGAGCATTTTGTATATATAGAACAAATAGTACAGTCCCAGAGGCAGCAAAGGGCTGCATGTGCACTTAGAAACCGTTATATACAGCTACTGTAAGTTTGTGTCCATATGTCATGGAGTTTGACTGGAAACTGATCAGATGGCAGAGCCTTTGGTTTGCACAAACATCATTGCTCTTTTACTTTTATTCAAGGCAAACTATTGAGGTGACAACTTGACAAATACTCTTAAAATCATGACATTATATATTTTGCAAGGATACGCTAACTAATGTTACAACTACTAGGCATCCTTAAGTACGAATAATCTGCTTTTTTAACCAGCATAAATTTAAACCACTGAATAAAAACCCTTACTACTAAAGATTGTGCAGTACCTTTTTAATACCATGTAATATATTCTTTGTTTTTGCTTGTGTCTCTTCGTCAAAAGCAGAAAGCAGCGTTGCTTTTGGTGTATGGCTATTTGTATGATGCTGAGAGAGGTGTCCTTACCAAGTGCAGGCTGTCAGCTTTCTGAGTTTGCCTCATTCTGCTCTTCTGAGCAGCAATCCGGTTCTTCTCCCTCCGCATCACCTTCTTCGCATCATCTGAGGAGCTCTGACAAAATGTAAAACACCAGCAGTTAATGTGTGTGCAATTGCATAAATATCAAGTGGCAAACTGTTATTTCTGGTTTTCTGAACCTGAAAAAGGTGAATTAGCCAGGAGCTTGTTGATTCAGTTTAAACTGCTGGCCCTTGTTGGTGGGTTTCCGTGTGAAATGGAAGTGTTAGCAGTACTGTAATGACAGTTTGAGAGAAAATGGGTTTAACATTTCGTTTAATGTGAAGGGCTAGGTTGGGGAGTGGCTGAATCATCGGTTAGGTATAACGCACAGCCTGTTTCGTGTCCTGAACTTGATTTTCTTGGTATCATAATAACTAATCCATTTCAAACTGCTGAGTCAGTTGTACATCAAAGAGATAGCAAATTATCTAACGTCTTCTGATTTGTCCATTAAAGCATTACTGAAAAACTCAACCCTCAACTGATGCTACTGCAGGATTGCTTCAACCAAATGAAGTGAGCAACCCAGCTTGTAACATGCATTAAAAACAGCATTTGAAAGGTTTTTTCCCCAGAAGGCTTGTGAGCAATAAAAGCAATGTGCTAGAGACTAGCACATGTGAAACGTGATAGCACTAAGGATGATGGGCAGTGCCTCACATGAACTAAAACCTACAGCACACACCATATTTAGCATAACATGTGTTCCTGGCAGCGCTCAAATGATTCACAGTTTGAAGACATGCACAAACAAAGGATTCCTACTACTTGGACCAGCATTGGTTTGGAAATTCACAAATGCCTACACTTTAAACAAGTCATGCCTCCAGCCCATGTGTGCGTGTGAAACACTCTGAGAAACTGTGAAAAAAGCCAGCAAAGGCAGAACTTTTGAATAGGCTTTCTGTTGCTACCCAACAAAGTGCATGAAATACAGCATCCAATCAAAGATTTAGGAGAAAGGTCTTGTGTTTAATTCACAGAATTTGTATTTAAAAAGTAATCTTTAAAGCTTTAATGCTTCATCATCCAAAGATGAAGTCAAAATAGGATGTAATATTATTAAAAACTAAATGGACGTGCACACTTACCGGTCTGCTTCCAGGTGATGGGGATTTGTAACTTGTGTCATTGCTGTCAGAGCCCTGAGCCATAGCCAACCGCGGCGACTGAAACCGTGTCTCTTTGTCCACTTCTGCTTTGTGTTTTTGAGTGTGTGTGTGTGTGAGAGAGAGAGAGATAGAGAAAGAGAGAGAGTCTGTGTAGCAGAACGAGTTGCTGAGAAGAACTTGGCTCACCACTTACTGAGTTATGAGTCTCATTCTTCCCTCTTTTCTTTCCCTTTCTGTCACTCCTCCTTCTCTTTCACTCTCGCTCTCTTCCTTTCTCTCTCGCTCTCTCTCTGACACACATACGCTGTGAGACTAGATGCCTAATTGGTTGTATCTGATGTGGCTTCTGGTAAGAATATGGGTAAGTTGCATTAGACTGGAAGTCACATGTCTGATGAAAAGGTAAAGCACATAAGGTAATCTTAAAAACTCCAGAAAAATAACATATAAAGGGTTTAAGGAGCAGTTGGTGTAAACATAGGACGATAACAGTATATCAGAAACACACCTATTTGCCTAAATGTAAAAAAATATATATACAGTATCTCTGCATAGAAAATTGTATTTGGTAGTAGCACAATCAGCATTAAAGAATTTATAAAATTCCACTAAAAGATAAGATGCTACAACCCTTTCATGTGCATGTAGGGGCATTTGTGGGTGCACGTGTGTTAGAGGGGCATCAGGGGCATGGGCATTCCCTCTTCCTCTTTTTTTAGCCGCCACATATGATATCACGTTTTGACTAAATCCTCCAGGGACAAGCGTATCCCTAAGCCACACAAGGATGACTAGATTGTGTTATTTACACATGCTTCATGGTAATTTCCAGAAGTGAACCACACCATCTCGCTTGCAACACGCCAGCTGCAATAAGGTGAGGCAATGTCAAGGGCTCTGGCATTGAGAAATGCCCAAGGGGCTCCCCAAAACCCCACGCTGAATTTGCTCATTGTCTTTTATTCTAAATGACTTTGTGAAAATGCCAAAAGGTGGGGAATCTTCTAGAAAATGAACAGTATGGTTAAATAGTCGTTGAATATACAAAGTGGTTGAGGGGAAACATACTGGAAATGAACAAAAATTCTGCCTAAGAGAGAACTTTTGCGTACATTTGACACATACTGATGGTTTACCGTCCAACAAAACCCACATAAAAATCAAGCGGCAAAATCTCTAAAGCCGCTGTGCCCTTTACTCATCTATTATTTTCTTGTTTGCCCCCATCACAAGGTAGCATTTGGTGGTGCAAGAACAAGATTTTCTTGTGAGAAAAAAAAAGAATCAGGACCAAAACAGCTTTGCTTGGCAGAACAGTCCTCCCACACAAAAACATGTTCTACCATCACAGGAATTTTGAAGAGCTTGGGCAAGGGCAGACATTTCTAATACTTGGCATTTAACGCTGTCCAAAAGAGTTGAAGCTGTAAAAAGAGAGAAAGAAGGAGAAAAGCTGATTAGTCAAATTCAATTTAAGCAAAACACAGAAACAATGCAGTACAAATACAGACAGACAAGAAAGAACAAACAAACCAAGACTATGGTTTTGACTTATCGAGGCCCATTTTCTATTACTTTTATATCTAAACCTTAATGAACTTAATGTACTATAAGTGTTATGTTTCTATTTGTTTCCTTAATAAACAGTAAATTATTTAAATATTGAGTGGACTGTCATCATTATAGTGACAGAGCTTGGTGTAAGTTGTTATTCTTGGACTTTAACATAGTGATTAACACTCAGGTTCTACAGACTGTGCAAGAGTGTGATAGCAAGCTGACCTTTGAGCATCATGTGGATGATGTTTATAAAAAGAAACAATCTGCCATTTTGTAGGACTAATAGATATAAAAACTCTCTTGTCCAAGTTGCTATTGGCATCATTTAATAATCTGATGTGACTTTTCTTTTTATGTTATTGTATTGTACACTCAGTGGCCACTTTATTAGGTACACCTATACTATTGTATGGGCTTCAATGCAACACTTCCATCTTAACATTGGTGCTTATGAAGCTCAAAATGTCTCAGTTTTGGTGAAATTCTCATAAAAGTGTTCATAATATTCTGACCCTTTCATGTATGTAGGTGGGGAGGACTGGCTGTACAACAATTTAAAAGGTCTTTGTTTTTAATTTGTCAATTTTGTTTTGCTTTTTGTTTCAGTGAAATTTTGATGCATTTCTATTCCATCTGGGGATTATTAAAATAAGAAAGTGTTTAATCTTTTTTAGCATTTTTATTCTAGTGCAGTGAATGGCTTGATAGCAACATGACACTTTTGCTAAATCAATATTAGACCTGAGGAATATTTAGCAGAAATGACAGCTGAACAGTGTAGATGAAATTTAACTACTGCTGTCTTCTTCTTCTTTAGGTTTTGCTTACTTGGAAAAACCCAGATGGGTCATTTATTGAGATAGCAAACTGAAATGGCCTCATTTGTGGTGTCTCTTCCCAGAAAATGTCTGTGGGAGGTTTCTAATAACCACCAAATTACTGAGGGAAGGCGAAGAACTGTGTAGACCGTAAAAATAACAACACTTGATGCATGTTGTGAGTTTAATTATAGAGCTGAATATTCACTTCAAAACAAACACCATTCATGGGGCATTGTAGATCAGGTGTAAAGTCCAGTCAGTGAAAAGTTGACTTTTTCTCCTTTGTTTAGTCCACAAATGTCCATGAAGTCCATGAATTTAGTCCACAAATAATCCATTTTATAATTTGCATATTCACTATGGGAAACCATACCCTAAAATTATAGCTGATATAGGAACTGACACAGGTCAGTCAGTCTGATTACAAATAATCACATCTTTAATCCAGGGAACACAGTGTTGACAAGTAAATTAGTACAAAGGTTGTATTGAAAAAGTGACAAAAAGTGAAGGAGTGATTAAATGTTAACAGTTCAAATAAATATAATTATAATGTTACAGCATGAACCACGTGTCACTCTCTCTGTTCATTATTTGAATCAACCTTTTAAAACATACACTATGAGAAACACACATAGGACAACTCTCAGATTCTTGTATAACACTGAGTATCAGGTGTGGAGAAAAGGTCCTGGGAATAATGTCATTAAGCTGTTACAGTTTAAATTAGTCCCACCTGCAGTTTACCTCAACCCGCTGAACAAGCTGAGAAGTTCTCAGGGAGGTGGGTGCTGGTGCTGCTGTCCTCCAGGTGGAGGTGGTGTAGCAGCAGCAGAGCAGCAGGTCTGTGAAGGTTTCTGATGGAGTAAAAAGACAGAGCAGCAGCATTGAAGCTGTTGTGTGATGTAAAGATATAATGTTGGAGTGTGTGTGCTGTGACTGTAGTTCACTGGTGGGTGTAAAAAGACCGGGTCTCGTTGTGTTACTCAGGCTGCACTACAGCGTCTATTCACGGGCGCGATCCCACTACTGAGCGGCACGGGGGCTTTGACCTGCTCCGTTTCCGACCTGGACCGGTGCACCCCTCCTTAGACGACCTGCTGGTCCCGGGCTCCCCCAGGAGCACCATATCGATACCGAACTTAGTGCGGACACCCGATCAGCGTAGCCCGCTGCAGCTCAGAGCTCCTGAGCTCAAACGATCCTCCAGCCTCAGCCTCCCGGTAACTTGGATTACAGGCGCGCGCCACCGCACCCGGCGATGAACGTGTCCGTTCACCAGGCTTTAGACTCTGGTGTCGTGACGTCATCACGGAGCACTGCAGCGTCGGATAATACAACTACAGCTGCAGCGATGGAAACTGTTTTCACTGCTAAAACGCTATAATGTGTCATTTTACATGAATGTGCCCGCACCAGAGTACGACACAAAGAGTCAGG